GCAGAGAACTGAGGTAAGAGAAAAAAGAGAATTATGAGAGGCATATCCTTGTTTCTGTGAATGGAGTAACCCTAGCACAGCCTGCTCTGGGGTGTAGCTGCCTCTGGAGACCCAGGGAGGATATGGCAGAGGGAATGGTGGGGGAAACTCAGGTGTTAATTTCCCCTCAGTGCTCCCTTCACAAACCAACGGAGAGATTATTGCTGGAGTACTGCAGCTGGATCCCAAATACCAATAAATATCAGATCAATGCTTCTAATGGCGTTTATAGTAGAGTTTATCTACAGTTCTGTTATCACTGTATGAGATCTCTTCCTTCAAACTTGCCAATCTTGCTTGTGTATTTTTAATGACTGTTGGCACAATACTTCTCGAAACTGCAGAAGCTGATGGAGATTTATGGAATGGATTAGCCTTCTGGGACTCCCACAACAATATGTGTGCTATTTCAATCCATTTTGATCTGAAATGGATTGGTATGTCTTTAAAATGAGCTAGCAAATTGCTGTGCTAATTAAGCTAGATTGAACGATGCACAGAAGCTAATATTACTAAATCTGTCCATGAAGGCCCAATTCTGAGAACCCTCGTAGTCTGTGGACTACTCAGCTTCAGCCTCTAAAAATATTGCACTGCAAAGCTGCTTCCTTGCCCAAAAGATACTGCCTCAGTCAGTGCTGAGATGGCTTTTAATGTGTGCTGGACATTAGGCTCACAGTTTGAAATACTCTTCCCCTTGATGCTTCCATAGGTTCATGCCAGGGCAGCGAGGCTGGACAGAATATGCACATTGCTTTTTCACTCTCTGGAAAAGGGCCTTAAGGCCTAGTGTTAGGGTTCTGCGCCATAAGACTTCAATCCAGCAGATCTGAGTACCCTGTGCAGAAGATGCAACACATCTTCCGGCTGACTGCTTCCAGGAGTTTTGGTAGCCCATGTTTTTTTAAGCTGAAATGTTCTTAGTTTCCAGTTTTTCAGTGTTTTTAAGAGCAAACAAAAATTCTTTCTGGATTTCCATACCTTCTAGTTCATTGTTGTGATTGTTGTCACTGTTCAAAGCAATGATGCCAGGATCAAGGGATGACTGTGAAAAACTGCAACCTTTTAAGAGCTCTTTTTCACACAAAGAGATACCTGTTTGCAACCTTTACTCTCTTGGGCCTGTTATTTTTGTCATTGTTATTACAGTTTATCAGTCCTTTGCAGCAAGAAGTGATCAGTAAGGCTTAAGCTGCTCAGCCTCAGTGTTTTGTGTGGTTCTCTGGTGCTGTGGGTCTTTAGTTGAAGTTCTTTGTCAACACAGTGGATTCTGTGACTAATTTGGCTAATTCTGGAAGAAAGGATTATGCTTGGATCCTGCATTGGTGTTTTGAGCTTCAGTAAAAAGTTACAGTGAGTGAGTAGTCTGGGTTATGCAGACAGTTGGGTGGGATGATACCTTCTGGCCTTCAAATCAATGGGATCTTTTTGTTGCTGTATGCTTTAGGTTTAACTTCTGAGCCACCCTGTAAGGTCTTGTACATGATTTTGTATGCAGAGCAGCCTGTACATTGCTTATGAATGTGTGTCTTGGATAAATGGGAAAGTTCCAAGTGGGGCTTTCACACAGAGGCATAGAGATGTTATTGGGACACTGCAGTATTGCCAAGTTTTTGTAATTTAGACAATTCTCACAGTAGTTGACTATTTTTTAATAAAGTTTCAGATTGTTTCAAAGAGTGACATTTACTATTTTTGAAAAAAGAATTAGGACCTCTATAGTCCTCCTTATTGCAGAATAACACTTGGAAAAGTGACTGCTGCAGCTGAACACCACCTCCCCCTCCATCACCCAACAACTCATAAAACAATGAAGAAAAAAAACAACATTAGGTTTAAAACATTAAGTCATCTAAGGTTTTTTTATAGGATCTGCTTAAGATTCTGTTTTCTCAGGGTGAGAAACCCCATAACTCACAAGTCTTCTGATTTCCCAGTCCAGGTGCTCACGGAGCCATGACCTCACTCCATCCATGCTGGGCAAGCTGTGGTTGTGTTCCAGCTCTCCCTGTGTCCTGCTCTCCAGGGGAAGGGAATCTCCTTGGCCATCAAGGAGCTAGTGGGGACTTCCCTAGCAGGCTGGAGATCAGGACTTGGAGGTGTGTTGTAGTCCAGGCACAGCCTCCAGCTCTCAGATCAACAAATAGTGCCCTGCAGTGCCTGTAGCCAGATGATGTGCTGGGCTGGTGCCTGAGAGTGCCACAGCTCTCCTGTCTGATGTGGATAGTGCCACAGCCCTGCTGCCTGTTTTGGATGGTACCACAGCCCTGCTGTCTCTTTTGACCTGATATAATTGCACCAGTGGAGAGCAGCACTGGATGGGAAGCTGCCTTGGAATGAGTGACAGGCCCATTCAGGGCTCACAATGCCCTCACTCCTGATCATTGCAGCTGTAATTTATTGCAGAGATAAGGATGCATTTTCCCCCTAACCTTACAGTGTTGTTTGCCTCAATTTGCTGCCTTGGGGGAAGTGTGTTTCTGTGCAGAATTTGGTAAACAATGTAGGGATCCTCATGGTCTCAAAAAGATGAGACCATGCAGCTCAGGGAAGGGGTAAAGCAGCCTGGAAATGGGTCCCTCCTGTGCAAGCACTACTCTGGGACCAAGGTGAGAAGCAGCAGCTGCTGAGAAAACTTGATACGCTTGCTGAGCACAGGGCAGGCAGCACCCCAGTACATGGTAGAGGGTCAGCATGAGGAGAGGAAAGAACCTGGAATTTTTCAGGGAAGGGCAAGAGGAAATTGTGACTTTTTGAGTGGTAATTCTTCCTCAGCATGGGCTGTGAGCTGCGAAGGGCTGACTGTCCTGCCTCTGCCTGCATAGTCTCTGTGTAGTCATAAAACATGCAGGTTTGATCTGCCATGTGAGATGAGCGATTTAGATATTAGTACGTCACTGCTTCTCTTATCAGAGAACATTAGGTTTTTGCAATTTCCATTACTATTTTTATCCTTTATTGTGTGCAAATACACAAGGATTTTAATAATAGCAGAGTCATGTTTATGTTGCTTGGAAGGCTGTGGAGCATGATGTCTTATTTTCTCTAGTCCATTTAATGCTGTTTTTACAAGTGAACCATATTGCTCCTACAGAACCAGGGCAGGCTTTTTATAAACACAATTTTTTAAAGGATTGAATAGTTGCAATTGTTGGAGAAAGGTGCTTAGATACTGGATTAGGAATTTGCAGGATCAAAGTAGCAGTTAAGATGCCAGGGAACTCATCCAAATCACAGCATAGCTGATATTCTTTAGGGAATACTAGGCTGTTTTGTATACAGCACTCTTGGCTCCAAGTAACTCAAAACCTGAAGAATTGAAATGATTACAAATATCGGGCTAAATCTTTGAAGGTGTTGAGTGCCTACAGGTCACATTGGGCTGAACACTCTGACACTGTGGCCCTTTATGCTGCGGTGGCGATGTCAGAGGCATTCAGCAGCAGCCAGTGCCACGGGGGGGGCCCCTGACGGTATCGGCCATGCTGCAGTGCTTGGGTGCCGTTGGGCATTCAGCCCATTTTCCTGGCTACATTCTGCACCTCTCAGGAGCAGGCTGACAGAGGAGTGGCTCTGGCAGGGAAGTGCAATTATTTGTGATCTCAATTACACAGAAAATGCAGGGGTTTGGTTTTTAACCTGTGAGAAGCCTTGGGTATTGCTGAGGGACTGATCTCCTTGAGATCTACGCTCCAAATACAGGGCTAATACTGTAGTGCCGTGCTCAGACTGAGGTCAGTGAGGTGAGGAACTTACCTACGGCTTTGCTGCACTGGAAGGTGCATCTAACTGACCTCTGTCCTCTCTTGGACTCTAGATGTGGAAGAACAAAGGTAATAGTGGAGCAGACCTCTCCTTTCTCTGCACTTAGTACTGATAGGGGAACTGAGCTTCCTTGTACAGTTGCACAACTGGAGCTGGAAAAGATGACAGAGAACTGAAATGTTTGCCCCATCCCTGGAAGTGTTCCAGGCCAGGCTGGACAGGGCTTGGAGCAACCTGGTCTAGTGAAAGGTGCCCCTACCCATGGCAGAGGGGTGGAACTGAATGGTCTTTAATGTCCCTTCCCACCCAAACCGTTCTATGATTTTCATATCTATTGCTTGAAGTACTTAAGTTTCTATTTAAAAAAACTTTTTAAAAATTGCTCATCTTTGGGGAGGGGTTTATAAAGGGGAAAAGTGTGAAAATTAAATGGCATGAGCAAGCTCCTTTTCAATATTTTCTTTGAGAAAACAAGTTTTTGTTTTAATGATACAAAAAAGCCCCTTGCCATTCTAGTTCTTAGTCAGTTCAGAAAAACAGCTTGTGGACTTATTAAAAGATGCAAATGGATGGTACAGGTGGACAACTGCATCAGGTTCTGCCTCCCCCTCTCCTGGTAACACCAACCAACTCTCCAGCAAATACAAAATTCTGCTTGTCTAACTCCTGAGTTTCTGTCCAGCTCCTGTGGTGTCCAGCACATACGGACCACCTTTCCTCTGTTATCCTAGCATCTGGCTCAGTGATCCTGAGGAAATCACTTTTATTATCACTTGTGTGAAACACAACGGCTGAGGAGTCCAGAAGTGGAAAGCATCCATTTAAGACGAGGTGTAAGGAATACCTTAGCTGTCTGGAATGTAGGAGTCTATCCCACAAAACCAAGTGATACCCCTTCCAACCTCTGCAAACACGCCCTGGGATTGTTAGCAGCCATGACTGGCAAGGGCCCAAAACTGTGTATTGTCCATGAAAATACACAGTGCTGCTGCTGGAGTGCTGGTAGGGCTGTGACTCACTGCCACGTGACCTGTCATTTCCCAACCCTGAGCATTACGAGCACATAAAGGTTGACCCATTCACAGAACCCTGTGGTGTGGCAGCAGGCCATACATATAACCTTGACTACAATGCCCTTTCCGGAGACTGATTGTGCTTTTCTTATTATCTAACGAGCTTGTCATTTCCTGTACTAGTTGTAACAGAACTGAATATTTTCTAGGTTACCTAACCAAACTCCTGCAGAATCACACGGCCTATGCCTGCGATGGGGAGCACTTGAGTCTGCACTGTCCTCGACACTCAACAATCAGTGTTCAGTCAGCGTTTTATGGGCAAGACTACCACATGTGCGGTACTCAGGAGCCTGAAACCAGGATGGCAGAACCCATGAACTGTGTGGCACCCACCTCCTTGCAGGTATCATACCTTGTAAAGGTTCTTAATGTATGAAACATTTCTGATGGTTTTCCTCTGGTTTCCATGCAACTGTTCACAACATTGAATGAATTTACATCATACCTATGTCAGTTTACCATCAAAAGTGTTAGAGCTGAAAGGATTTGACTGGCCAGCAGGACATTACCATAGGATTGTTAGAGATTATAGATTGTCTTCTGTTTTGATGAGCCTTACTTTGGCAATCCCATTCCCAAAATTCCCTAAAATAGTCAGTTCCTTTCCAGTCAAGGGCTGAGCTGACCAGTCTTAATCCATCACACAGGCCCTCCTTGTCCCCAGGAGAGGATATAAGCATTGGACTGAGCTGGATTACAAATCCACTGAATAAGACAGCATTCTGATTGGCATTTGGCTTGTTCCATGCCTATCTTTCCTCACTGAAAAGGCACCTTGACAGCTAAACAGCAAGTCTTAGGCATTTCTGCAGATATCTGCATTTCCATGAACACATGATTCGTATCAACAATAGCCTATGATTTGTTTGCTTGGCCTGCTTAAGTATAGCTTAGAATGATTTATACTTCATCAGTTACTACTTTCTGCTGTGGAGACTTTTGTAACAAGGCTTAGATGGTGTGACTTACTCTGCTATCCAAGGCTTGTTTCATCATAGTGAAAAATACTCAGGCCAAATTCAGTAAATCATTGCAAAAATGAGTAGTCAGTGGAATCTGTACAAGTTCTGTTAGTGAAACTGTTGTAAATGCTCTACAGAAGCTTTGATGAAGCTTAGAACACTTGCGCTTGTAGCTGACATGTTCCTTCTTGGCAACAGGGAATGTCTGTTGCTACGACCAGTGAGTTCAAGAGTGTTATGGACTGGCTTGGGGGTAATATCCTCTCTCCAGAAACTGTATTAGGTCAGGTTTATAAGTGTAGCTCACCCGTGCTGCACTGCAGTTTTTAAAGACATTCCAGACATGACCTATGGGCATGTGAAAGTACATCTCTCCACCAGAAACAGTAAGACAGATGCATCCTTGATGTCATTTTACTGACTATAGCAAAATGACACCAATGATTACTTTGGGCTTGTGAGTGCCTTTGTGAGTTCTCTATGGGCAGTTTTTTTCCTTGAATATAATAAACAAAGCATGCAATAACTGTTATATAAATTACAGTCATCACTCAGGCACTGTCACTGATCAAAGGCATGCAAGCATATGGGCAAGGCCACAAGCGTGACATGCAAAAATGCTCTGCATCTCAGGGAGTTCTGGCTTTGTCAAGGAGAAGAGACACATCTTGTAAACTGATTTCTTAGAAAAGAGCACCAATGATCTCATCCCTCCTCCCATTCCCTTTGGAACTGAGTCTGCAGTCTGCTTAGCCAGGGGTGATGCTGCCCTGCAGCCAGGAGGAAGCATATCAGGCATGTTTTACAGCGACCTCCTGTGAGAGGAATCACTGTGACACCGGGTCTGTCTCAAGATGTCTATTAACAGCCCAGTGCTATTTTGAGTATCATTGTTTACTCTTGTGGCTGCGTGCTTTAGCACAGCAACATGATAGAAAATGACACTGCCGTTTGCATTAGGTAGGAGAAAATACAAACAGATGCACAGGAGATGATTCAGCTCAGGTGCAAACAGAAGGTGACTCAATAGGGGACAGCTATCTCCACTTACTAAAGATGTAACTCTGTTTCACTGGTCCCTTCCAGAATCATCCCAATTAAGGAGGAGTTACTTGTTTGACTTGCAGCTCTGTAAAGGAAGAATTGACTGGTAAAATTAAGTCTGCTGTGCTTTCCCTTCCCTTTTAAACTTTTTAGAATGCATTTATTGTTCAAAAAGTGTTGGACACAAGTCTTTTTATTCTACCAAGGGGACTGTTGTAGGATCATTGCAGTATGCTGCCAATGTGTATCATTGCTGGTCAGGCAGGACGGCTTCCAGGGATGACAGCAGAGATCCAGTCCCTGCCAACTCTCTCAGCCTGGAAACAGGAATACAGCTTGTGCCATTATAGTGATAAATTTGTGACTTGCCCTATTGGTTTGACTGAGACCCTTTCTGATGAGAAGTAAGGCAAAAATTCACATAGATTTTATGGGACTACCTAAAATTATCGGGGAGCGGTACCTTACAGTTACTCCTGTTAAGAGTGGTCTGACCTGGAGACAATGCCCTCATCGCAGCCTGCTGTGATTTTAAGCATCAAGAATCCTGGGCACAACAACACAGACTATCCAAAAATTGTGTCAGGAAAGCCCTCTTTAAATTGAGCTTTGAAGGTGGAGAAGAATTTCCTGCGTACACTGCTGCATTTAAACTGGGGCTTTCTAGGTGCTTTGGCTTGTGACCGTGTTAAAAACTGCACACAGACACACCTTGGACTATGTCTTCATATTTTCTGCAGCTGCAGTTCCAAACCCAGTGCTGAAATGAGAGCACCAATGTGAGCAGTACTCAGTCCTTTCTATGGACTTAGAGAGGGCCCACATGATGCTTTGCATATAGCACTGCTGACCTTTTTGTTGTCCTCTGTTGCCACTCCCAGGGAATCAGGACAGTAAGATCTAGGATATGTTGCTGGGCCAATAAATTTGGAGTAAGTATGGTCTTAGAGCAGCATTAAAAAACCTGCCACAAACCAAACCAAGTATACTGAGGATAGACAGGAACATCTCTGCTGTCCAGTCAAACGAATTCCAAAATTTGTTCAAGTGGCAAGTCAAGCAAATAGCTGATAATGTGTGTAACTGCAAGAACGTGTCTCCTAAGCAGGAGGTCCTACAGATGGCTTAAAGCCTGGGTTGTGCTTCAGTGTCCCTCAGCACACCAAGCCATTCGTTAAAACTCTTTCAAGTGAAGATTATTACAGGGCATGATCTACCTGTAAGTAGATCAGGGTGAAATGGTTAAAAAGACATCTTTTGAGTTGCCGTGCTTCACTTGGACTTTGCACTCCTGTAAATGCACTCAGGAGTGTGTGAATGCCTCAGGCACATCAGTGAAAAAGCTGAGGACTGAGTGTGTTCTCACTTGCTCTGGTCTCTGCACTGAGTCCCAAGCACCACTGAGGCTGTGATGACACAGGCAAATTTGGCCAACCCCTCTGGGGGCAGAGGGAAAAGTGACTAACCACAGCAAATTGGTAACATCCTAACTTGCCATGAGCATCGCTGTGATGAATGTGTTCCCATAAACATGGCCATGACTCTAGTCCAGTAGAAATCTGGCCTAGATCCAACGATACAGATGTTTCTTACATGTTTATAGCCAAAAAGCTGTGATTTCTCTTCTGTATAGAACAAAGTACAACTAAGTGTTCTCGTTATGTATAGCTTCATACCTTGTTTTCAAGCCTATCCTTTTTGCCCATTGTTCTAGAAAGTACTGGATGAATGCCAAAACCTGAGATCCTGCCAGCTCCTTGTCAATAGTCGGGTTTTTGGGCCTGATCTGTGTCCAGGGACCACTAAATTCCTCCTTGTCTCCTTTAAATGCAAACCTAGTAAGTAATCAACATCAGGCAAATGTGTTTTTCTGTGTGTTTTGTTGCTTGTTTTGGTTAAAATACCACTGCACGAGGCTTTGCATGAATCCATGTGAAGTTTTGGGGTTCCTGGATTGATAGCACATTGGTTTGTTCACTCTACATTAGCTCTCCATTGTGTTTGCAGCTTCAGGGTCCTTGCTGCCGGTTTAATGACCAGTGCAATTTGGCAGGGTCACATGTCAGACTTGAAAGGAAAAATGTTTTGGAAATTATTTTTAGACAGAGAGCAATGATAATGTCATATTAGAAAGACAGAGCTGAACAGCAAAACCAGATGCTTGGGCTGAGGATCCAAATGATGCAGAAGATATCATAGTAAGGAATATGCAAAAATGCTTAAGGAGGTTAGCCCAGAGCTTTCAAAGATTCTCTGTACTACCTGCCATTTATGGAATAATGGTTGGAGGATACACAGGCTGACTTTGTTACCAGGTTTTATGGTAGAATCTGTGGTCTATGCACGTATTTGATGCTGATATGTGAAGGGACAAATCCTACCTCAAAGAGAATTCACTTTGTAAACATGAGCAAGTGGAAGAACGATTAAGACAGTCATCATGAGGTTTCATTTACTGGTGTTTTTTAATTGTTTTTCTTGTTGCTATTTTATATGAGAACAAGCCCCAGTAGCCTAGGGTCTCAGTTTGTTTGGCAGCTAATCCCCAATGTGGCTGAAATGGGTCCCAAAGAAAACAGCTGAATGATGATTTATGGGTAGGTTCACCAGCCAACTCAGAAATACCATCCTACAACCAAAGGAGAAAGTACAAAAGGGATTTAATCAGAGCATTAAGATAGACGACACTGGTGGAACAGGAGTAGGTGGCAAGCAAACTCAAGGGCCAGCTCATGAAGGGTGTCGGAATCAGAGCAGAGATGGGAGTGGAGGAGGCAGATGTTACCTTTGGCAAAGCAGTTACACACGAACTCCCATTATTAGGAGAGAAAAATGCCTGAAATGTAAAATTTTCATGATCTGTTTTATTATCACAGCAGTTTATTTTTAAAATAATTACAATTACTGAATTATTAATAGTAGATGGATTTGAATATCATAGCTGTATCTGTGCCCTTAGAAATCTTTGTACTAATCAGAAGTGCATTGGGATTCTGTTTGTTACTTTCAGAAGCTGCTTAATATTTTTCTCCATCGGAAATGAGTTGCTTTGAGTACACAGTATTGTCTGTGATCTGAATTTTACAAAAGTTGATCAAAAAGTGTATTTAACAGCAAGTTCTGCCTTCAGGATCGACGAATAGTCCAATTCCAGTGCAAACTACATTTCTTGTGACAGGAAATGTATATTTGTAGGTAGGATACCAATATTGTTGGGCTTAGCAGTGAAAAACATCTTTACTCTGGAAATCACTTGAGTATAACTTTAAGGCTATTTTACAGTCTCCTTGCCTTCAAGTAGCCACTGAAACAATTGCCTAAATCCCTCAGTTTTTCACCTATTTAGAATTATTGTTGCTATATCATGGAATCATAGAATCATAGAATCAACCGGGTTGAAAGAGACCTGAAAGATCATCAAGTCCAGCCCTACCATCAGCACTAAACCATGGCACTAAGTGCCACATCTAGTCTCATCCTGAAAACTTCAGGGATGGTGAATCCACCACTTACCCGGGCAGCACATTCCATTATCTGATAACTCTCTCCGTAAAAAATCTCTTCCGAATATCTAACCTAAACATCCCCTGGCAGAGCTTGAGTCTGTGCTCTCTTGTCCTACTGCTAGTTGCCTTCCCTTGTCTGATACCACTTGTGGGTTTGTCTCTGTTGTCTGTACTTCCAAAACCTCTCCAGCACACCTGTATGGACACAGAGCCCAGCTTTAGGCTGTCAGCCCCTGAGGTGGAGCCCCTGGGTTTTTGGTATGATCTTTATGGATGTACAGTATGGCAGGTGCTTCTGCAGAAGTGACAATCTGCCGCAGGTCAAGTGTTTCTTAAAATCACTCTTTTTAGACTTAAACTTGTGTCTCTTGATGAGCTCGAGTGGAAGAAACTGGACTGTTACCAAGAACGTTGTTTAATCTGTTCTATTCTAGATGAAACAATGTTTTTTCATTAATAAATTGGAGTTTTTTCTCTCTCCAGTTTTCCCCTAGCACCGACACCCACACTCCACTCACAGGGACACCACTCACTAATAATAAGGTTTCCCTTTTCTCCTGCTCAGCTTAGGAACCCCCTTTTCCTGTTTTCACATTTTGGAGGGAAAAAAAATTAGAGAAGAATAAACTCTTCCCCCTAACCTTATCTGCAGTAAAAAGGTTTGATACCATAGCTGACCAGGAAGACTTGAGCAGGTAAAATGCCACACACAGAGCAGCTGCTCAGGCCAGCAAAAGATCTCCTTGGCCAGCTGGCAGATTTTAACTGGATCCTGGGGAGGGGTAAGCCATGCCAACTGGACGATGATCTCACTGGCTTCCCCACCTCTGTGCTGATTGTGCTGCCAGAGTGCCTGTGCCAGCTGAGCAAGGGAGGGGATGTATTTTTCTCAGGCTCCTGATTCACATCTATTTGTCAGCAAAACTTTCAAACGAGCCCGTGCTGGATAGTCACGCCCAGGGAAACCCACTGACCCTGGGGGAGCTGTGCAGACACAGCTGAGAGCACTGTCTAGCTCAGGGAGGGGAGCCTAACCCATGCCTTTGTGCCTCCCATTCTGCATCCCTCACCCATTGCTGTGTGTGGTGGCTCTGAGTGGTGCCACTGTCCCTGTGACTGATGAGTGCATGGAGCCTTGTGGTGCCTGGACAGCTGAAGTAGGTGGAGAATGGAACAGTGTCCTAGGAAGAGACAAAAGGGAAGGATGAGGCTTCTCCTACTGAGCAGGGGTGGAAAGCAAGCCAGGAAAAGAGGCAGGAAGTGGGGAGGCTGTTCCAATGGGAGAAGAGATTGGTAAAAGTTATTTTTTTTAAATTTTGTTCCAAAAGGAGCCAGGGGCTCTAGATAGTCACATGGGAGCAGTTCAGTTGGAGGAAGCACTCTGCTGTTGACTTTGTCTCTGACACATGTCACTCACAACAGCACTTGCAGAAAAGCCAGTTTCTGTCATGCTACTATTTGCTGTTAACAGTCCAGCTGCATAAATTGCCCATGCTACCGTATTGCTGTTTGCTTCTGTTTTAGCTGAATACAAAACCAAATCAGCATGTGAAAACCAGGAACTGAAGCTCCACTGTCAGGAATCCAAGTTTCTTATCATCTACTCCGCCACCTACGGCAGATGGGCACATGAGGAGAGTGTCTGCTCAGCAGAAGTGGAGCGCATCCCTCCCTTTGGTATGTTTGTACACTGCTGATAGACCTTCTCCAAGCAGGTGCACAGAGAAGAGGTGAAACAGATGGGCAGAAAACTTCAGGTGCAAGAGCACTGGTGTTTTGCAAGTGTTGATGATTGAAATATAAGAGAGATTATTTTTGATACTCAGATATTCTGATACTCAAAACTGCCCAGTGTGAGGGAGGAACACAGAATAAGACATGCAGCAAAGTAATAAGCTTTCATGTAGCTGATCAGTCCTTAGTATGATTAGCATCAAAAACTGGTTCTGTTTGCTATCTTGAACCTAGGTGACATGTACTAAATTCCAGCTGTTTGCCTATCTTCTTCATCCAGCTTCTGACAATGATTAGGTGACCCAAGTGTCACGACACCATGTCTTACTGCTTCCTTCTTCTCTGAGCTCTCTTTCTGCCAAATCTTCCTTGCTTCAGATGCAGGCTGTAAGGAGAGGGCCATAGGGCAGGGTCCATTGCTTTAGATGCTGTTAAGACTGCAAGACTGTGATGATATACTAGAAAATTAAATATGCCTAGGACTTCTCTTGCACCAAGTCCAGCAGGCAGGAATGTCCTGTGTACCTAGTACTAAGCTGAATAATACATTCAGTGGCTGACACTGAAGGCATGAAGGTGAATTTTCATGCCGTGAAGAAAGCCAGCATGAGGTATGTGTGCTGTTCAAATCCCTTAGTACCACACAGGGAAGGGCTTGCCTGACTGATGCCAGCCCTGTGCTGAACATTACTCCTAAGAAACATGCTACGAGTGTAATCTATAAGAAGCATCTCTGAATATCAAGAAGAGATCAATAATTAATCTTAAAAGTCATTTGTCTGCAAGCCAATGTTTCTATTTAGTTACATATATATTATTAAAAATGTATTGGCTGGAAATTGTAATCTGTTCTTAGGCAAGAGTCTATTTAATGTTGCCAGGTCTGTGCTTCACAGTGGCCGTCATGTGTTGGCCTTCACACAGACTTTAGCTCTGCCTGTCTGTTCTGTGGAGGAAACATTTGAGCAGATCTGTCTCTGGCAGACCTATTCATCTTACAGGATGGTGACATTAACATGTGACACAGGGCAGGGCAGAGATGGTTCAGCTGATCGAGAAGGGCTACCATCATACTTACTTCTTGCATTTCATGCACCTCTGAAAATCACTCACTTGCCTCTAATGTCAGCACTTACAGTTCACAGATCAGAGTTCTGCAAACCCTTCTTACTGGATAAAGTTTCCCAGGATAAATAAAGAGTTTGCAACAGCAACAAGCTCTTTGCTGTGGTCCCTCCATACAAGCATTTCTGGCTGTTGCTGGTTTTGTGTTCTATAAAGCAGCCTAAACCTGTGCTAATAGGAGAGAGCATAAAACCTGAGACAAACACAAAGTAGACCTACAGAAGGTAGATCCTTGTATGGGTTTCCTGTTACTTGATGGAAGTGCTTAGCCTTTTCTTGCATGATACCAGTGACCCTCTGCAGCCAGTAGAATTTTCAAAAGCACCTGTGTGTGTGGTGTGGGAGTACACATTCAGCTGTCACAAAAGGCTTGACACTTAGGAGCCAGATCCAATTGACTGCAGATCTGTCTGTTTTGAGCTTAAATTTTATTTATGTGATTATTTAAGCACCTATGTATGTGAGTGAGTGCATGATTAGACTTTGGAATTGCCTGTATACCTTCCTCTCATGGAGAGCAATGGTAATTTGAATGTCAACGTGGTTGTAACAGCTTGAGACAATTTGAAAACTTAGTTCAGCTGCTCTTCCTTCCTGAATCAGAGCCCATGTACCTGTTTATGTTTGCACCAAAAGCTAAATCAGCTCCAGTGTTGTTTCTGCCCACATTTGCACATCTCAGCCTGAAGGCAGCACTTGGACCTTTCCAGTTCTTTCATGGCATTACAGAGAAACTGTGAGGCATTTTTTTTAGCACTATGCAGAAGAGAAGTCATCTGTAGGTCCCTAATGACAAGTTTGGGAAGTCTCTGTTGTGCTCAAGAGTTTAGTATCTCTTTATACTTGATAGGGTCCTGTGTATTGAATTAGATACTCCTCTAGATCTTGGTTACCTGATAAACAATGGCAAACAGCACCTTTGGGCTGGAACAGATTGTGTTCTGGACTATTGCTTTTCCGTGAAGCACCTGTCAAATCATCTGACAGATTTTCAGAGCTTTGCTGCAGAGGGAACACAGGAAAACATAAAATTTCTTTTAGCATAAAGGCTCTTCTCTATATAGGAAACAGAGTATATAAATCCAGGTCTGCTATGGGAGATATCTGTGTGGCCTTGGAGCACCTCCTGAGTCTCAGCTCCACATTTAGCTTGACTACCTACTCGTGCAACTAGCTTTCTGAGCCAGTTTAACAAATGAAAAGCAGCTTCTGCAGCTACCCAAATGCCTGGCACTGTTGAGACTGTACAGAATTTACAGAAAGTAACTTTCCTGCTTTACTAAGATTATCAAAAACTTCACAATAAAATTTTGGGTGTGGTTTTGTAGCAGATGGTTCTGCTAAAATGAATCTATTGTGCCCAGCACCAAAGCAGGAAATGGTGTCGTTTTGTTCCTCTATGAGTTGCCTTTTCTGACCCATTATCTTTTATATTTGTACTAACATGTGCGTGAGGAAAGAGAAAATTTATTGGCCAGAAGACGTTAAAGAATTGTGCCAGAACAGGTTACCATAGAGAGCACAAGGAAGATTAAGGTCAACAAACACCTCTCAAATAATAAATTACTCTTGTTAATACATGAAAATACTTGAAAGAAGGCTTGGTAGTGGGTTGCCTCTTGCTGCAACTTGCAAGCTAGAGCCCTGCAATATCCTTCCCAGAAATTTCACCTGGATGTGCATTGGCTGGTCAGACCAAGCATTCCCTCAAGCACTAGTGACCAGCAGAACCCTGAATTCATAGCTGGAAGGTAGGGTCCTTTCCAGCACAGTCCTCTCTTTTACCTGTCATGCTTTTGGGAGCTTAAGAGGTGGAGAATTCAAGCACTCTCATCACAGCTTGCACCGTGGCATGACATACCCTGCAGCTGAGTTTTGTCCTAATCCCCTCTTCCCAGTGGAATTCAGCTAAGAGGAAAGGGTGTTAGCAAGGCAAGCAAGGGAGATTTTCAAAAACCTGTAAGATCCTGCCAGTTCAACAAGGTGTCATGATTTTTTTATGTAACACGATCCTGTGATTCTTTTTTCATTATTTTATTTAGTATTGTGGACAACTCAAAAGGCCTTACATCTCTTAGTCACTGACAGTGATTGAAAAACTTTTGACTTCTGTTCCTTACTAAAAGATGGACACTCTTCCTAGTGTGAGCCAGTCCCTTGGGTAAGTTTCTTGAGAACAGAAGTAAATGCAGGGAAGGTACAAGTGGCTGTAGGCAAATCTGGAAATGTTTCCACACTGCAGTTACTAGGTTCATGCTAGCTGTAGGCTTCTAGGTGCCATAAAACACAAACCATGTAAGTTGCCCAAACCTTAGCAAAGGCTGGATATTGAAGTACATACACTTTAAGGAGCACTTGCCAATTAACACAAACACTGAGCCCCATCCTCTGGTGAGGAAGAAGCAAGAGCCTGTAGCTCAGAGCTGCTGCAGTAGAAGGTGACCAGGTTGTTTTTAGAGTGCAGATCTCACTGGTTCCAGGCCTGGGTATGCCCTTCCCTTCCTAAGCATCCTCTGCTTAGTACTTATCTACTGGCTAGCCATGGGGCTGATTGCAAACACAGACCCTGAGCAAACCAGGGAGTTTACTAGGTGTTTTGGGCCTCAAAAGGTGCCAGCAGGAGCCATTGCACCACTTGGCCCTAACAAATCTTGTCAAGACAAAGCTATCTTAAAAGAAATGTTCAAAGCAGTGGCAGGATGAGAAGTGATTGTTTGAAGGGAAGAAGAGACCAGCCACCATTTTTAGAGTCCAGGTAGCTTTCTGCTGAGATGAACAGGGAAGGTCTGATTTGGCTGAGCAGCTCTGAGGTACACATCACTTCATCCATTAATGCTTTCTTTACTAGCAATTCAGGGAATTTCTTGTATCTGTTTTCTTTCTAGCTGAGATTTTTGAACTGTTTGGAAAAAGTATACTTGGCACTCAAGTCTAAAATAAGCCAAGGAACTTGGCAGGTGCACAGAGTCTGGTTCCTGCTGCTGCCAGCGAGCAGGGAGCCCCACTTGTCTCTTGCCCTTAGTGTTTGGTGGGATGGATCCCCCACTCTGCATATGCATGTGCAAGAAGGAGAGAAAGACCAGGTTTGGGTTGGGGTTTTTTTTTGTAGAAAATACTTCCTGACTGAGTCCTGAACTCAAAGCTGCTAGTAAATAAAATCAGGCACCAGGCTTATCTCCTGCAGGCTGACCAGAGTCTCACAACAGGCACTGCAGGGAGAGGGAGAGCGGGTGCAGCTATTTGGAAAACCTTGGTGCTGGGTTCACTTGTAGGGAATAGCCTGTGCTGGCACTAAGTAGCATTTTTGGCATATCATCTTGCCTTGTTTACTGACAATAATTGGACCTGGAATATAAAGGTATCAGCAACACTTTTCCTAAGTGCTGCTGGTCATATTGTGTGTTTCTGCTGGAATCAGCAGTTCAAATGGCTCTTTTCTGATGCACAGGCAGGACCCTGTGTGCCATGCTCTTGCATAAATTACCATATTATTACGGTAACTTTCTTTAGCAGCCTTAGCTTGCCCCAAACTCCATAGTTTCCCCTTGTCAATTCTTATCCTCAGAGCCGATATTTGGACTTTACAAAGCACAAGCCATCCTGATTTGGAGGTGTGAAATCTTTGCTTTCAGTTGATTTTTAAAGCAAGCTCCTTATTCTTCTGTGGGTGGCCACAGCCCAGGACACATAAAGCAGCACAAGCAGCAGTTGGGGATGAAAGCAAGGAGCAGCTGGGCTCAAGTGTTGAGGGGGCCTTTTTTGGTGCCCTGGTCCTTCACCAGCATGTTACTTTCTAAGCCATTTGAGACACATCCCCTGCCCACTGTGTCTCAGTGCTCACCCTGTGCACAGTGGTGTGGGAGTTGGAAATATTTGGAGAGAGTGGGACAGGATGCTGTCACCAGAGCTTGGCCAGTGCTGGCTGCTCTGTCACCTGGAGGTCTTGTGTGGCGGAGTAGAAAGAAAGGGAGGGAAAGCTCCTCCTGTCTGAATTGAGAGAAGCTTTAAGAAACCAGAAGACAAATTGCTTCTCATTAAAGCCTGCATGATTTATGGCATGTCATTTGCATGCCAAAACTTTCCCAAACAAAGCTAATTAGGGAACTGAAAGAGCCTTTCCTCCAGAAACAAGGCTTTCTACTCCAACTGTTAAATAGCTGCAGTCAGATTGGATAGTTTATTACTGCATTAAGAACCTCTTCTTGACACCCGTGTCCCCCTGCCATCCATATGAGTGTACAGTACAAAAGATCCACCAACTTCAGGAGAAAGGCATGAATAATGGAATGTTTTCCCAGCCACACATCGCTGCCTTTTCTGCCACTGCTGGTGGATGCTACCAGCCCTTCAACAAGCTGGGAATGTGTCTTTCAAGAGGCAGTTTATTGTAAATGTATGGTACCACTTTAACAAGCCCCACAAGGATCTGTGCAGCTCGAACGGTACTCAGTCAGAAAGAAGACACATGGCATATTTATGTTCATGTCCTGGTTGGTGGTTTCTCTGGGGCAGTACTGTGGGACTCCTTTACTCAAAATGCAGCACTGACAGAGTCCTCTCCTCATTCAGTCAGAGGTATTTTACCTCTTCAGAGGTACTCTCCAGTTGTTTTTGTACTTGCCAAAGTAAGTGACTTGGCTGCCTAAGATGTCCACCCAAATATATCCTTACTCATCTGAAGAGGAGGACGAGTTATGCATGTTGCTCCCATCATAGCTGCTGGTAGAACTAGTGGGAAGGTAGCAGGGGCTCACATAAACAAGACAGAAAAAAAAGAATGTTTTTTGATTGAATCACTAAAACCCAAAATCTTTTTAGAACACAGGAAGTTGTTAAGTAGGGTTTTTGTGTTATAGGTCTTTCCAGTTAATGTCTGTGCTGTTCTGCAAAAGCAAACCAACCAAGCATTTACTCACCTGTGACACCAGGCAAGCCTTGGGAAGTTCTCCAAAAACTGGCCTGCCAAGAGCCTGCAGGCATATGACGATGGTCCTCAGGTAGAGAAGCCAAATCTGACATGGATATAGATGATAAGAAGTTATTAACTCCTACAGAAACGTGAGCAAACATCTACCAAAGGCAAAATGAAACATGTACTTGCTGTATCACTGAATTTGTAGAAAACCATCAGCACAGCAGCCTCCTGTTTTTAAAGGCACCAGGACTAGCTCCCAAGGGCAGGAAATTTTGTAAAAAACATAATTCAGTTTGCCAGTTTGCTGTTGTGCTCCCAATCCATTCATTTATGAATCATCCTATAATTCCTCCTGATACTCTCCAGTTGTTTCTGTATTTGCCAAAGTAAGTGACTTGACTGCCTAAAATGTCCACTCAAATATGTCCTTACTCCTCTGAAATTGCCAGGGAGGGAAACTAAAACTGCTGAGGTACTTAATCAGAACTACCCAGTGATTTAGGTCAGCCTTCCCAGCAACCTCTTGGAACACATGGGCATTAGGACTTTAGGTCTCTGAAAAGACAAAGGAAGAGTTGCTCTCCCAAAAATCCATGTCCAAAGTAACCCACAAGCCCTTTGCCAAACAGATCAGCCCAGTACCTCCTGATAGCTCTGCTCGAGTATATGACTCGAGTAATCCCCTGCTGGTTTCAGGGGAATAACTCTAAAAATCACAAATATGTCCCATTTTCACACATTAAATGTCAATCTATGTCAAGAACTCAGTCTCAAACCTCCTTTCCGTAGAGATTTGGGGAACCTTTGGACTGTCTTTGCAGACATTGTTTGTCCTTCCTCTAAAGAGGGACAAATGAGCTTCAGCAGTTGGGAGGTGACCAGATGCCATTCTTTATTATAGGAAGAGGAGCTGTTTTAATGCCCAGAAAGCTGACTAGATGCCATCCTTTGAGGGACTGTTTCAATGCCCAGAGAGCTATGTTTTCAGTCGCCTAGAGTGCCCTTGTCTCAGAAGCCTGGAGTGAGACATACCTGCCATGCACAGCAAGCCACAGAATGCATGGGGTAATGCTGCCTGGAAGCAGACTGCTTCAGGAAAGTATTACTTGCTCCAGACGTGACATTTCTAAATACTTTCTGTTTAGAAATCAAAACTAAGGGGTGTTTTTGCTCTGTGGCTTGGAGTTTAGCGTATGTGGATACCGGGAATTTGATCACATTTAGAGACATTCTTTTTTTTTTTTAAGCAGAGTCTGACTCACACACTTTCCCACTCAAATAATTTCAGCTTCAGTGCAAAATCGATTTTTGGAAGCCATGTTTCCCTGGTTAAATACTGAGTGCATTTTAATAATAAATCAAAAGCTGATTTCAATACACTGTACTTCCCTGTAGGCCTAGCTGTTGGCGACACAGAAATTGATCTCATCTGACTTGAACTGACCTTAGGCATTCAGTCGATGCCTCTCAGTAACCTAGGGGCTGAAAGAAACAGCATTGCATCTCCCTTGATCCACACACTTGTCTTGAGACGGAATAGATGGAGATGTGCTTATTTTTTCCAAGATATCATGAAGGGAACATAGAGGCCTTATATTGGGCAACTGTTTGGAGCTTGATGTGACTTACTGCAACCTTAGTATGCATCTGGGGATCAGCATGAGATAATTAGCTTTCTGCAAGTTCACATTTTCATTGCAGCCAACTTCCTTGCATTGACAAATCTGAATCTGACAAATCTGAAATCTGGCAAACTTGTGTCTGAGATCAGGAGCAGATTTGTATCTCTAGCCATGCATCCAGCAGCTCTTGTTTCAGATAACACCAGTGTTGGGTGTTTATTATATGTGTTTTTCTTTCAGACTGTTTGTCTTACACGGCACTGGAAATTTTATCAAAAAGGTGTTACGGGAAGCAGAGGTGCAAATTCATGGTCACCAGCCAGGATTTCGGAAGTCCATGTCTACCTGGAGTGACAAAGTACCTTAATGTCAGCTATGCATGTGGTAAGAGCAAATGCACAGTCATTTTCAAGCCTTGCAAAAGAGAACTAGGCCAAACGGGGCACACACATGGAGACACACACAAACACACAGGGACACTGAGGCTTCCTAAGTCTCCCCTGCCATTTAACACAGGAAGTTTGGGACATAGCCGTGCAAGGACCACCAAAACACGTGAACAATCACAGAGCTGCACCTAGTGAAAACTCTGACATTATGGTGGGTTTTTTCTTATAAAAAGTGACAATAAAATATAAAGTATGTATTTTAATATTTTTGATAAATACTATCAAAAATAACAGTCTGCTCTACAGAATTCACTTGCAACAGAGCCAGGAAAAATAACCTGGCATTGCCTGCCATTAGTGCAGGTGAAGCAGTCCAGCATAATTGAAGCACTGTGCACAAGCCCAGTCCTGAAACCTGATGCACATGAGCACACCTACAGCCTTCATCCTGGCAGAGGGGTTTCCTTTCTCATGAAGAGGGAAGCAAAGGTTTATGAAAAGTAAAGGCTTGAGGTTCCGTATCCCTTGAAGGACTGATGCCTATTTCAGCTCGTTCTTCAGCCAAGAGGGAAGAGTTTGCCATATTCTTTGCCATAGACTAATACATTTTCATATGGAGAGAGAATTCTCTCAAATTCTTCTCAAAAGCAAAGGCACAGCAAAGTGTCATATCACTAAAGGTGAGAGAAAAGTGGTTACAGAACTTCAATATAGTGCCTTATTTTGGTATTACACACTTTTAGGAGTGGCTGTGCATTTGTTAAGGCTCAGACAGATTTCCTCAGGCTCTGCTCTCTGGCTCTGGCTCTGGCTGACTTGAGGGTTAGAAGTCTGAGGGTCAGGGGTGATCAGTTCTCACACGCCTCGGATTCAGTCAGAGGATGTGTGAAAGCTTTTTCACCAAGTTGCTGCTCCTGCTCACTGTGCACTGCTTGGAAAGGTGCCAGCCCTGCTCCTTCTGGGCTGTGGGAGTAGCTCCACAGGAACATACCGTAGAGCCCCTTCACTGCATCTCCAGTGACGAGTGGTCAAAGGGCACAGGTTATCTGAGATGTGCTTTTGGGAACAGCAGTGTAGGATTGATTGCCAGACCACTGTGTACCTGAAGATCAGAGGAAAATGAGCCCCAGCTGCTTCCATGCTGGCATGGGAGAGACTCAGTCTCCCTGTGAACTAGTTGTCAGCTGTGAGGCAGTGCAGTGCTTCAGCTTCATGTTGCTGAGGAGAGCTGGGGATCTGCCTTTGCACTAATACGTTCTGTTATTGTGCAGTTGCCTTCATGAACGAGTTAATGGAATTCTCTTTAATTAGCGTGAAGATAATTACAACAAATCGTTCCTTCTTGCACGTCTGTGTACCAGAAAAGCAGCGTGAGTTAGTCTGCAGTGAAGTTATGCATTCTGTTATTTAGGGAAGTGGTTTTGCAAATACATGTGGGTAATAAATAGTGTTCTTGTGTGTTGCTGGCACATTTGGAAGAGTTTTTCTTCTGCCAAGTCCTACTGAGCTATGCAATCTGAAGCATTAGCCAATGATTTGCAGATATGATTATTTTACAGATCATCTAATGAACATGGGAAGAGTTTGGACATATTCCAGAATGACATTTTACATTCTTTCTCCTCACTAGAAGATCCCTGCTAACCTGATGCTTCCCAAGATAATGCAAATAGGCCTTGTCCTGCAGTGACAGCAGGGCAGACCACATTCTCAGAGGGCTGTGCCACACTTCAAAGTATTTCCATCGTGGTCAGGAATGTGAAAATAATCATACTCCCCACCTCAGTGGTCAGCAACTGTTTAGGGATAGTGTGTCTGGCTGCACTTCTGTTGTTGCAGTTAATTCCTGACTGTAAAAACATAGCAGGAGGCAGGAGGTGCTGGTTTCTTGCAGTCTCAGTATCCCCAGTGACCTGGTCAGCCTCATCTCCTGTCTGCACCAGGTGACATCTCCTGGCTGTGGCTGAGCCTGGACCCCAGGATCACGGAATGCTCTCTCAGGAAGTGGCTCCTGATGCCTCACGGTGTCTCTGCGCTCCCTGGATGCCGCTCAGAGTCTGTCTGTGGGCTGCCTTTGGCAGCCTGCAGCAGGTGACTGACTCCTATCCTTCTTGACAAAGTAGTGCTGGCACAAGTTGTAGTGCAGATGTGATTATCTTGATAAAAATCCCTCGTGCTAGTACCAGTTATTCTTTTCAGTGACCTGCTGCAGCCTATCCCAGTTAAAGTCCTTGTGTCTGACACATAGCCATAATGAAAACGAGCAATGCAAGCACCAGGGGCTTCTTTTGTCTGTACCCTCTTGAGCATTCCCCCTACAACAAATACTTGAATGGCATAGGGGGAAAGGGTCAAGCAAAGCCCTGGGTAGTTCCCCTTGTGAAGGAATTGGGAGGAACATCAGCATAAGTGAAGGAGCCCTAGCTTGGCCACCAAGCTTCAGGTCACACATCAGCACTGGGGACAGTGCATCCTCCCAGCTCATTGCCCACAACACAGGCATGTTGTTCATAACAGCCAGACCTGCAAATGCAGAGTGCAGGCTGAAGACAAACCATCCTGCTCCCTGTTTGCCCCATGCACCAAGGAAAGTATTCTGCCTCTGGAAAGCTGCTAAGAATTATGATGAGGTACAAGCTCATTCTCCCCTATCTCTGTTGGCCTTCCACTGCAAACAGGAGCTGAGAGTCCCAAAAACATTCCTTCATCAGAAAAGGAAACAGCTCTGACACTGAGCCCACACAGAAAGAAAAGTTCTGCTCAGAAAGAAGTGCTATTTTTAGTTGTTTTCCAAATGAAAACTGCTAAGCTGCAAACCTCAGTCTCCTCTGTTCTGTTTAGCTCTCAACACTTTCGATTGGCAAATGCTTCTGTGTGAGATAGAGGTGAGCTTCATACTTAAAATTTCTTCCTTTTTTCTCCCCCTTCACATCAGTCTGAAAATCAGTCGATCTGCCTTCACCATAGTACAGGGAACAGGTGCCAAGGTCTGGGTGACTGAAGGGCCCATTCATCCAGGACAGAGTATGTGAACTCTTAGTGTCTGCATGATGCACCTGCTTTTAGCTCTTTTAATTATTTAAGAAGACTGTGAACACTTACTGAGGGGTTAAATTGATGAAATGAGAAGGATGCACCCCACTTCCACCCAGCTTCTCTCTCCCATCCTCTGCACCTCCCTCCTCAGAGACTGTCCATCTCAGAGGCTTCGCAGAGGGTGTCACATGAGACTTTTAAGCATTTATCTGAGAATTACAGTGAATTATCATAAACCAAACTCAGTATCTGGATGAACCTAGAATCCAACTGTAGCCCAGTTTATCCTGAATTTATAGGACAGTTTTGTCTTCTATCCACTGGTTGGCATAGCCCTTGTGGGGCTGAAAACAAGGGGCAGGTCGTGTGCTGTGTGCAGCTGCACTGATGTTCCTGGAGCAGGCTGGAGTGTGAATCCAGTCACACGTCCAGAGCTGCCCTTACTAGTCCTTTGCAAAAAATCACAATCATTAAGGTTGGAAAAGTCTCTGAGATCAAGTCCAACCTTCCATACCACTGTTGGAAATCCAGTTAATAAATTCAGGGTTAGCCGTGGGATTGGTAATTAACTGGGGAGAAAGTTCCTAAAACTAACAGTACACAATTTGTCTTTTGTCTTTGCAGTTCCTAAATTTATCCTCACGGCTGTCAACCCCCTGGTCCCCAATAACAAATCTTCTGTCAGACAGAATGATGGTATGTACTACAAAAATAGGGTTTGCTGCTTCCCTTTGGCTTTGATTGAAACAGGCCATTTTCCTACTGCAGAGCTTCATCTGCAGGAGTGGGATGGGAGGTTTCACTTGGTAATACATTCTTTTAAATAAATTTGCCATTTTCTAGATGTTCAATATTTTCAATACTTTGTTACTTACACTTTATTTCAATATTTATTTTATTTATCAACCATTGTTTGGTCTAATGTTCTGCAAGGCTCCAACAGCACAGTGCTGGCCTGTCTGTGGACTTGTTAGCTGAGAAGTTATTGGGTGAATATCAGTTTAGTAACTTCATTGAATTTGCTTTACCTTCTTGTTTCACAGGTGTTGACCTTGATCCAAAGGAATCAAGACTTCCAAAGAAAGATGGAACTATTGTTAGCTCTAACTACTTGGCTACATTTGCATACATCAGAGGTAGGAAAATGAGGCTGAGATCATTTGGCTCAGTAGATCATGGCATTTTGGGAAAAGGAGGGTTCACCTCCAAAGGTCACAACTGGTAATTCCATGTTTATAGTAACAATATTTTTACAATACAGTCACAGTCTTGTGGATGGTAGAATTGCAGCATAATTGATATTTGTGGAATATTTTCCATATTGAAGGATCCAAACTCTTTTAGAGACTGCAGCCAAGATACTTTTTGATTAATATTTTCAATGGGGATTGTTACATGTTCGGTAGTTTTGAAAACCTGGTCCTGACCTGTGAACAGCACTGGAGACATCCATGCTTGGAAATGTTGGGTTGTAAACACACAGGGCACGTTAAGGAGCAGTGAAAAAAACCAGCCAGCCCAAAACCAGCCATTTCTGGTGTGACACGGCAGGTTTTGTGACTTAGCAACACTAAGGCAAATTCTGTTTAGGCAAATAAATTCACTGTCACTAGATCTCTGACCCCAAGGAGAAGTCACATTTTAGAAGGGAGCAAAGGCTGATGTAGAGAAGCAGTTCTGGAGCTAAGATTGCTGCTTTTCCAGAAACTGCCAAGAACCACACAGCCGATTTTACATCCTATTGAGAGAGGCTGTTTCCGCATCTGTCTGCTGTACTGAGATGTGTTTTCAGACTGTGTCAAGGATGATAAGTGCTCCCTACCCAGCCTGGCCTGAAGACGCTGCCAAGGCTCTGTGGAGCCTGGAGTTGCTCTTCCTGTGCCCCCTCTTCCTGAGGGTAAGGCCTGTTTGGCAGGATGGCTGGAAAAAACAAAAAGGGTGCACAGAATTCTGGTAGCTGGTTGAGAACACTGGTGAGCTGCTTATAAAAAGATGGGATCATGTTGTTGTTTTATAATGTTATTAACAGGCTGGGATTTTTGCCCAGCAATTTGAAGAGGCAGAGAGAGCACTGGTCAGACTGCAAGTGCAGGGAGGTGTGGGTGCCTGACAGAAAAAGCCTCCCCTCACCCCCCGAGCAGACCCCACTGTTAGGCTGTACAATGCAGGGCGCCGCGTAAATGGCAGATGGGGTTTTGTAGCTAGGCCTTGGCAGAGCTTGTGAAGTGTTTTAAGCCCTGGATTTCTGCTTGCAGATCACCCTGAAAGAGCTGCTCTCCTGTTTGTGTCCAGTGTCTGTGTGGGATTAATCTTCACACTCTGTGCCTTGGTGATCCACATGTCGTGCGCGAGAGACTTCCGCAAGTTGCGCAGGAAGAAGGATCAGCTGGTGCCAGAGAGTGCCAGAGTGTATGAGACCAGTGAACAGGAGGAAGAAGAAGTGGAGGAGGAGGAAGAGGAGGATGATTCCTCTCTTTCAGACACCCAGGATGACATAGCAGGACTTTACGGACCTTCATACTCAGGTTATAATTCAACAGAGGCGGCGGAACTGGCCGAAAGGATTGAGCGCAGGGAGCAGATCATACAGGAAATTTGGATGAACAGTGGTTTGGATATGACACCTCCTAGAAATATGAATACTTTTTATATTAACAAACAGTAAATGGCTTATTTTGGATGATGTCCTAGCCCTTTTTTTTTAAAAAAAGAAATGTACCTTCTGTGAAGGAACATTTGTATCAGTGCATATAATTATTTGTAAAATAAGAAGAAATATATGCAATAAAAGGAGGGTTTCATACCCTTGACTATCTATAAATCCTTCTGTGAAAAACACTTTCATGCTTTTAATTCATGTTATGGATTACTTTTCTCTGCAATTTGGGATCAACTGCCAAATGCAGGTTAAAGAATATTAAAAAGGTGAAAAATACTTAAGCAGTATAACATGGAGAAATACCTTCTGTGTTCAGAGATGGCACTTGTAACCAGTTCAAGTGTTGCAGCTCATAAGTTACATCACAATGTGCTCTATTGATGAGAAATATGAGTATTAATACTGGCATATGCAGGATGAAGCAGAATTAAACCAGGTTCCTGAAGCTTTTCTACCCTTTCCTTAACCCAACCTTTCTCTAAAAACTCCTGTTCCCCTGGTAACAGTGATCCTGATTACAGGAGGGTTAAATTCTGCTTGCTGGCATCCAGATGATGCAGTTCTTTAGAAGAGAGGTGTGAGGGAAGCGTCTCTAGGCTGAGAGGTCTGGAAACTAATCTGCAGAGAAGTGGCTGGTAGTTCAGTGAACGTGTTCCTCGTTTGAGGATGTTTCCCTAGGTGCAGTCCTTGTGGCTGTACTGCAGCAGCACCTGACATGAGGCAGCCTGGAGAGGTTTCACAGTACTGCGCCAAGTCTGCCCTTTGCTTTTAAAGCACACAACCACCAGACAGGGCAGGCCTGAAGAGGGAAAGCATTACTGAAGAAAGGACATAAGGGCCAGAAATTCCATCTAGATTGCAGACCTGCAGCGCCCTGTTGTTCAGGAAAAGGTCATGGTTCAACCACCAGAACAGACCTGCCCAAGGTGTACTGCTGCTGCTGCTACCTGCGCGGTCAAACTTGTGAAGCACAAGCTCCAAAATAGCTGCTGCTTTCATAACAGACTCTTGATGTTGCCACATGCTAAGTACACTTCACTTCCTAAGGGAAACTCTGGGTTAATTTTTCTGATATTAAGGTGAGGTTAGAGCCAGCAGTTCGTTACAGATTATAGTCTCGGGATTTTTTATCAGTTCGCAATCTTCACGTGAAAGTTGTTCAGACTAGTCAGATTTGGTTTCAGTTGGACAAAAAATTAAATCAGAAATGTATCTAAGTTGAAACCACAACAACCTTCCTGTTTTTAAAATGTCTCAAATATTTTAGCTGCAGCCCATAGGGAATGTACTGAACAAAAGGAGGAAAAATGTCACTTCCTATTGGTAATACTCATGAGTTCATTGTGCTTGCCTGCTCAGATGCTGTGTGTCTAGGTAAAGTGAAGTAGTATGAAACACTAGGAAAGAAAAGAGTGACATGACTTGCCATTTCCTACAGATACAAAGTCAAATTAAGCCTGGGAAAACTTTAAAAGGAGGAAGGGGGCTTGCTCGGATGACAAAAGCACAGTCCCATGCTCTACTGGAAAAATCTCAGCAGCAATTAGCATCCTATCAGTGAAAGGAAGAGAGGCTGAGGAGATGGACAGAGGGCTGAGGTCACCCAGAGCACTGGGAAACTGCCTGAGAGGCTGGAGGCAGCCTGGAGCTGGCCGCAGGCCTGCTGGGACCCTGCGCTCCCCTTCCTGAGTCACCATGGCCTGTGCTCCTGCACTGATGAACAGCTTTTGGTGTGGGAAACCCCACGCCTTGGCCCCGAGGGAGGAAGGCAGGTTTGCCTTTTGCCAACCCTGTGGTGGGGACAGCTCTGGGCAGGAGCTGGCTCCTTCCTCTTGACTCATGGGGCAGGTGCCACCCATTTCCCGGTCAGACAGAAAGGGACTGATCTACATCCCAACAATCCCCTACTGACAGACTGTACTAGCTAAAAGAAATGATCCTCTTCTTTTCACTGACCCTGTCTGATTGCAGAGAGCAGGCTGGGCTCTGACACAGGGCTGAGGGCAGGGGCTCCCAGGGGCTGCCTATTCTCAGGGCAGGGCCCTGCTCCAGCTGGCTCCCAGTGAAACTCCCTCCTGACCATCTGAGTCTCTGATCGTTTCTGCAAGTTACCTGTCCAGTAGTCAATGTTTATAGCAACTAAAAGCTGTGTCTTTTCTTCTCTCACTTTTCATGGGTAAGCCTCTGTAAGGGCCAGCAGCTGACATTGGAAGAAAACTTGGGAGTTAGTCTTTCCATCAGACTTTCACTTTGTTCAAGCCTAGGTAAAATCAGTTTGCCCTAGGGGTGGCCACAGCGTCACAGCGGGCCGAGGCTGGAACGCCCCTGTGGAGAACACCTGGCCCAGCCGAGGATGGAGACTCCACAACCTCCCTGGGCACCCTCACAGTGACAAAGCGTTTCCTCCTGTGTTTCACTTTGTGCCCATTGCCTCTGCCTCTACCACTGGACACCACAGGTCCTTTCCCTGTTCTTTCGTTCACTTCATCCATGCATCCATCTGCTGCTCTGCTTTGGGGTTCATTCCCAGCTGAAACCAGGCCTGTTCCTTCCTGGTTATGAAGCAACTGTGGCAGCAGATCAGCAGAAACAAGTCTGCAACTCAGAGGTTAGGCCCTTTCTTGAAGCAAAATTGCACAATGCTTCACTTTCCCCAACTCCCAGTCCTCTCCTAACTTTTATAACCCTGGAAGAAAACCCTTTGTGTTACAGTGAAGATTAGCTATTTATTTCTCAGCTGCCTTTGCCTGTAAATGACTTAACAGACATGATCTCCTCCTGATTTTCTTCCCTGCCTGCTGCACAGGCTGCAGACAGTAACAGATTCCTGCCAGTGCCAGAGAAGAGCCTGCTTCCCAATATGGAGCATTTCACAGCTTCTCGGAATGCGCCTTGAGAAAAAAACTGCTTAACAATGCACTCCTGTTTAAATGGATCCTCAGACATGGTGA